ACAAAGAACTCCTAAAATCAATGAGAATTACGATCACCTCAGTACAAAAGGATAGAAACCTTCTGAAACAAGCAAGCCGAAAAAGAAGAAACCCAAATAGTCAATGCACATGGAACAAAAATGATTAACCTGACCTGTAAAAATAAAAATACAAAGTAAGAACACACACACAAGCTAGCCCCCATCCCTCACCCCTAGTTTCATGGATAAGGACCAGCTGTAGACTCTGCCAGGCCCGGGGCAGTGTCGGGATCATGCTTGGAGGTGCTGCTCAGTGATGCGACCCACCCTCCGCCCCCAGCCAGAGCCACAAAGCCACTAGGGCACCATACCAGTTTATTTACTTATTTTATTTATTTATTATTTTGAGACTGAGTCTCACTCTGTCGCCCAGGCCGGAGTGCAGTGGCATGATCTTGGCTCACCACAACCTCCGCCTCTAGGGTTTAAGCGATTCTCCTGCCTCAGCCTCCCGAGTAGCTGGGATTACAGGCAGACGCCACCACGCCCAGCTAATTTGTGTATTTTTAGTTGACATGGGTTTTTACCATGTTGGTCAGGCTGGTCTCGAACTCATAACCTCAGGTGATCCTCCTGCCTTGGCCTCCCAAAGTGCTGGGATTACAGGTGTGAACCACCACGTCCAGCCTCACAGTGCCAGTTTAGCTCAGTGAAGCACAGAGCCTTGCATGAACCAGCACCTCAGGGACCCCGTGACAAGGTCAGAGCGGGTGAGAGGCACACACCAGGGTGACTGAGCCGCTTGCTGGGACTCTGGGGGCGGTGTGGTGTGGCTGGAGATCAAGGAAGTGTCTGCAAGTGAATTCGACGACCAAACACTCCCCCGGCCCACAGGGGTGGTGTGGTTGCCTGTGCTTACCAGAGACGGACCCCAAGTGAGCCTAGAAGCTGAAAGAGATGCTCAGGAGAGCCCGACAGAGCTCCCCAGGCTGGAAAGGACAGCACTCTCTGCTGGCACTTCCAAAGTTCAGCACCTCAATTAAGTAATTAATAGGTCTGGTCACATTCACAGCTCTCCAAAGGAGACTGATGGAGCTCTGCTTTTCCTCCAGGAGAAGTGCTTTCATCGCAAGCTCGGAGAAGCCGCATAGGAGGCAGCTGTCATCCAGTCATCACTTCCTCTGTGAGACCCACATTCCGAATCAGCTCAGCAAAGGGCAGGGCCGCCGGGAGCCACGTCCAGAAGTTGGGATTTGCTGCCTCCTGGAGGATATTATGAGTATAGCAAGTAAATGAACCCACGCAAACAATGCTCTCAGTAATGGGAAGAAAACAGCTGTTTTTGTCCGAGAAGGAGTGTCTGGCTTACCCAAGACTTCTTAAAGAGAGGAAAATATTAACCTAGAGCATAACAACCCCTCTCTCTTTTCAGTCAAAGCCTAGACAGACTGTGTTGATATTAAGTGAACAAGTTCCATGGGCTAATACCTTCCAAATGAAATGAGAGGGTTCTTGAATTAATAGATGAAAAGTCCCCTTCATACATCAGAGAACTAAGGAAAGGTAATTGCCCTCAATATTTATTTGTGATTTGGAAAATCCAAAGCAAGAAGGCTTTGAAGAAGTCAAGATCTGATTATAATTCTAGGCTCGGTGCCAATGGGATAAATCGTCTGGCAACTTTCTTTTGCACAGGCATCTACTCCATTTGCCTCTGATGCCAAGTACCCAGGATAGCACAAAACCTCACAAAGCGCTCAGAAAAGGGTGTTATCCCCACACCATTGATAAGGCTCCAAGTCCCCATGGCTGTAATGCAGCCCCCCTCCCCCACCAACTAAGGGATCAGGAAGTAGGGTTTGCCAGTGAGGAGCCTGAAGCAGCCTTCAAGCCTGTTTGGCCTTGGTATTCTTGTAATTCAGTGCCCTGGACTGGCAGGTCTAGGGACTTTTTGCTTTTTAAACAGGCCAGGCACAGTGGCTCAAACCTGTAATTCCAGTGCTTTGTGAGGCTAAGGTGGGAGCATCACCTGAGCCCAGGAGTTTGACGCTGCAGTGAGCCACGATTACACCACTGCACTCCAGCCTGGGAGACAGAAGATCCTGTCTCAAAAAAATTTTTTTTTAATAAATATAAATTTAAAAAATTAAAAACCCCAACACTACACACACACACACACACACACACACACACACACACACACATGCATACATGTGCAAAGTGTATGTCCAAGCTATACTCTTTTTATTTGAGTTTTCATTTACAGAAGTTTCAGAGAACGGGTCTGCAGAGTTTCTCGAGGACATGTTTAAAAAGCATCCTCTACCTGGGAGAGCTGGGTCAAAATGAGCACACTCTAGGAGAGTTGGGGATCAGCCAAGAGTGGGGCACACCAGCTCAACTAACTGAGCCTGAGCCAGTGGGAGAGTCCTCATGACAGTGGTCATTGGAGCAGGGAACAGGGACGTGGCTGGCTGGGGCTCCCACCTCCACAGGTGGGCATGCTGTGGCGGGGCTGGGGAAAGGGCCCATGGCCAGGGAAGCACGGAATGACAACAAAGAACGGTCGAGGCCTGACAAACAGAAACAGTGACACAAATTGCCTAGAAGATGGAGCGGCAGTCATTAAGCTGGTGTTGCCCAGACTTTGGTTGGCTTCAGGGCGACAGGTCAGGAAGGCAGCTCCTCCTGCGGGCCAGTGAGATTGCTCCAAGAACAACCTTTTCCAGCTGACGCCCAGAGTGACCCAAAGGCTCTCCCGGAAAGTCCAGTTCTAAGATGAAACAGCTGCCTGTCATGGAGCAACCTGCCCAAAACCACAGGGGGGAAGAAAAACCAATAACCAAATCCCGGTGACCGCACCCTGTCTGCAGTTACTCAGAACTCACTGGCCTAGGTCCAGGGAGCAGACCGAATCAGGCTGGAGCCTATCCACATTTAATTTTCAATTGAAAATGGAAACAAGTCAAGCCAAGTCAAACCCAGGCCCTGATTTAACAGCATCAATTGCTGTGGCGAAGACATTGTCATGGGGGGCGGGGTGCAGATCAGCCATCACCATCCCAGGGGAAGGTTGACACCGCCACAGTGGGGAGATACAGTGGGGCACTGTTCACTCACCTTTCATGCAGAAGCTCATCCACTGCACAGCTGCTCAGTGGCATTGCTACTGTTGTGTTCCTTCTTTTACAGATGAGGAAACTGAGGCACAAGGAGGTTATGTGATTTGCTAAGCTCTCACCGTAAATGGTGGCACAGGTGTGAACGGATGTATCTGGCTCTTTGGTTCTACACACGATAATTCTGATTATGGTAAAAGCCTAAATGACTAGAAATATTATTTGGAGATTGTGCCCGGAGGACAGCTGCAGAGAAGTGACCATGGCTGAACTGGGGCAGCAGGGCTTGGTCTTGCTAGGAATTGTCAGGGCTTCTGCCAGGCTTCTCTGGGGTGCACCAGGAGAGGCATCATGGACTTGAGATCCTCTGTACCAGAGGCAGGATGCAGACATCATGAACACCTCCGGGCAGGTGGAACATTTCTCTGGTGGAACAAGAAGCAGAGGAAATGAAAAGAAATGCTCTCCAGGTTAGAGGATGGAGGTGACACAGTTACCAGCAGATGCAATTAGCTCAATCATCCACACCTCACAGCTGTCTTGTGTGAAGCCCCCTGCCCTTTCCTGATTCACTACTTAAATAAGGACCATCAAGGCATCCTGAGAACCATAGCAGGGAGAGGTACTCATATGTGGCTCCTGGGATGAGAAGGAACGCAAGCTCTAAATCTGTGCTGTTTGCGAACTAGAGAAGGCGCGCTTCTGAGGATGAGCATTTTTCCTGGGCTATAGCCTGCCCAAGGGCCAAATATCTTTCCCTGGTCTTGTAATGATGGATGGAAGGACACTGCACACTCAGCTGTTCCTCCACGATGATCAGGTGGTAAACATGGCTGCCGAGCCATGTCAGCTTGCTCTCCCTGCTCTTGCCAGCCTGTGCTTGCGAAGACAGAGAATTGCTCTTTATATTTGCGGAGAAGTGGGAAATGCAGGAAGAAGGAAAACCTGCTTACTTCCTCCACTCAAGCAGAGAGAGATGTCCACATGGAGGCCATGACATCAGATTGTGAATGCCACAAGTTTTCAGTGGATTAAATGACTCTCAGCTTAGGACAAATAAGATTCTTCAGACTGGCAGGATTAAACCTCAGGGTGATCAGCCATCCCTGCAACTCTAACGAGTTGGGAAAGAGCCAAAAAAGAGACCTTTCAACCCAAGCCCTGCTCTACATCGCAGGCAGCTTTTATCTCCATAATTAGAGTGCTTGTTGTGCTTTTAAATAAACTATAGAGCCCAGGCTGGGCACGCAGAGGGGAGCTGACTGTGGGGTGCAGAGTCAACAGCGGAGCACAGGGAGGGGTGAGATCTCACAGCCTGTCCCTGGGAGGGTGGGAAGTGAGACACCCTGGGAAACAGGGGCCCTCCACAGAGGCTCCAGGTAGGGAAAGGTGTGTGGACTTCGGCAAGTCACTGATTTTGTGGACATTACTGGAAATTACTGCATTTTTCATTTATCCTTAAATGTAACTAGGCAGCGTGGAGGTGCCAAAGATTTTTTTTTTTTTCTTTTAGGAGACAAAACCAGAATCCTTTAAATCCTCTTTCTTAAACATAGGAATAGATATTCAAATTCATTTACACTGAGATTAGGAAATAAATACATTGGGTAATACACTCTTCGGTGGAGGCCATGGGACTCTCATGTACTGCTGGTGAGAGTGCAAATCAGCACAACCCCTGCAGAGAGAAACTGAGTGATAGTCACAAAACTACAAATCCACATGCCCTCTGACCCAGTCATTCATCTTCTGGGAATTTGTGCTGCCGAGACACTTCTAAGATGACATGAGTGTGAGATAATTCATGGCAGCTTTGCCAGTGATGGCAAACACTTGGAAAAAAACCCAGATGTCCATCAAGAAAGGATGAGTTAAATAAAGCGTGGTAGATTCAAACAACTACTATGTGGCTATAAAGAGGAATGAGGAAGCTCTCTGTGTACTGATGGGGACAGAAGTTTCAGGACATTTTGTAGGTGACTGAAAAACAAGGTACAGAATATTGTGTATAGGATGTTACCTTTCATGTGCTGAAAGGGGGAGATAAGAATGTGTGTCATATTTGCTTGCACTGGATCCACGCGTTCTAGAATACATGTGCCTCCACAAACAAAGAAGTCATCTGTGGGAAGGGAGCCCAGGCCAATGGGGAGAAGTAAAAGAAAGGAAACCCTTTTAGACTTTTAGATTTTGAAGCAATGTGAATGTATAGCATGTTGAGAATTTTCAATGAACAAACTGATCTTTCTTACATGAAAATATCCAGAATAGGCAAATCTCTAAAGACAGAAGGCAGATTAGTGGCTGCCGGAGTCCGGGAGGAGGAGGAGGAAAGAAGAGGGACTGTTTAATGGGTGCGGGGTTTCCTTTAGGGGTGATGAAAATGTTGTGGAACCAGACAGTGGTGAGGGTTGCACAACATTGTGGATGGACTAAATATCAATAATGGCAAAGTTATGCGATGTGTATTTTGCCACAATCAAAGTCCTATTTGTCATAATGGCTATATTTCAAATTCCATAGGGGGGTTTCATTGGGGAATCATTGTTAATTCAGTAATTCTCCCCTCTGCCTCTAAAGCAAACTCAGGGAGACATTTGGAATTCAGACAGGAGCCACTAACGGGCATGGTGGCTAGCATCTGTAATTCCAGCACTTTGGCAGGCCGAGGCAGGCGGATCACAAGGTCAAGACATTGAGACCATCCTGACCAACATGGTGAAACCCTATCTCTTCTAAAAATACAAAAAATTAGCTGGGCATGATGGCGCATGCCTGTAGCCCCAGCTACGCAGGAGGCTGAGCCAGGAGAATCGCTGGAGGCAGAGGTTGCAGTGAGCCAAGATAGTGCTACTGCACTCCAGCCTGGTAATAGAGCAAGACAGTCTCAGAAAAAGAGAGTATTTCCAAAGTTCTGCTCATTTGAGACAGCTGGAGTGCAAATATGTATTCCAGGTGTAAACTATGAGCCATTAAAAAACATGGGCTCACAGGAACCCCTATTTCCCTGAATTCATCAAAAGCTAGAAGCCACCGAGTATGGGGCAGTAGGGGTGGGAAGTGCCAAGGGGGTTAGTCCGTGGCTTCCTGAGATACCAGATGCTGGAAAAAGCAAGCCTGTGAAACCATGGCGCCCCCAGGGCCCTGACCCACCGGCTACAGGGACTGTTGGAGAAACAGAGGAAAATGTGACTTCCACAGAGCAGAGAAGCAACTGAGTAACCAAACACACAGGCCCAAAGACAAGACATCTTTATTTTCAGGGATGCTGGTGTCCATCTGTCAGAGCGCTGAGCGGGTCCAAGTCTGCGTCACCACCTGGCACTCCACAAAGTTTCGGTCGAATTGCTGGTTAATTAAGTTACCAGGTCACCTGGCCAGACGATGATTACGAATCATCAACTAAGCACTGATGGGTTAGGAGCGTAATCGACCCATCCAATTTGGGAAAAGGGAGTTGGAGCAGAAAAATCTGAGGTTAAGCCTATATTCATGACCTGCCAGTAAAAATCCAGTTTTTGGATACAGCTGTTGGGGAGGTTAGTTTATAGAACAAAACTTTTCAACGTATCTCATTCATTCCTCGAGATTAGCCTATGAGCAAGGGCTTCTACGTTATTGATCAGGCAACCAATATTGTAGGATTTAAAAGTGGTTTCCCAAACTTACTCAGCCTGTCAATTACCAGATGTTAGCTTGAAATCCCTGCCTCTTTGCCACACACTATTCTGTCTTCCACCATGACTATGAGTGGTGTGTGTGTGTGTGCATGTGTATGTATAATCCAGTCTTCACTGCTTATTTGCTTCACGGCTTTGAAGATATTGTTTGTCCTCTCTGAGATTCAGTTTGCTCACCTGTAAGGTGGAGACAACAATAATACCTCCTTCATAGGATAATTGTGGGCATGACACAGATAATGAACTTGAAGTAGCTGTAGAGGGCCCATGATTATACTGAATCAATGCTAGCTAGGATTATTTTTAAAAATAATGCATAGTTGTACCTGTAGTAAGTCCTCTCTTATCCAACATGGTTGAAAACAAAGTTTCCTGATAAATAAAAAATTCTGATAACTATATTTTTCACATATATCACAAGTGCATTATGTTTCAGAAACTTATACATAATAAGATATGCTGGAGTTGGATGCTCCAAAGATGCTTTTCTTGGGCAACCTAGAAGGCCTTTGGGGATCTGGTGGTGCCTGATAATAAATACCAATTTAATTTCCATCCAGCTATACAGGTCCATAAAACGATACAGGCAGTGAAAGTGGGTCACAGAGAATTTATGGTTATAATGAGAAAACGTCAATCCAACACCACGGTCTACTTCGTGCTTGGAAGCAAGGACTGGCCTGGATGTGACATGAACTCATGACTCAACCGTCTGTTGTCACTTGCTGTTTTTGGACTCTTCCACATTCAGAGTCAACCCAAAACTCTTCCTTTAAAAGAACAGCTTGGCCCAAGGAGCCTGCTGAGTGACATGTCAAACTGTCCCGGGAGCACACTTGTTTCCCAACCACCTGAGTCATGACAAATTGCTTGAGGCTTGTACCAGAGTAAAGTCTGAAAATATTTCCTCTTGCCCTCCCTACCAGACAGATGCTTCCAGAGTCAATCACTGAGCAGTGGATCTACGACAAACCATCCCTTCTCTTCAGTCACTGAGGTAAGTACCTTTGTGGTCCTCCTAATTCAGGGAGAAATTCAGTCTCAGAACTTCTCGTAAGTCTCCTTGAGAACAAGACCTTTCCTCTAACCTGACCAATCTCCTTATTCTTTCTGCAACTTGCCAGGCCCATTTCTACCACCTGGTTGCTAATTCTCTTCTCCTATTGATATTTCCAACCTCATCTCTGTAGCCCAAAGCATTACCAAACTCATATTGCCCTTGGTATATGCATCATTCAAAGATTCCATCATATTCTGCCTTACTTCTCAGTATCAGGGCTTCCTTGGTCTGTGTAGTGACATTCGGCTCCTTGAAGGAAGGATCTTTGTTCAATATGTCCTTCTGATCCATATGTTGCCTAATATGGAAATGGGTATTCAAGAATAAGTATACAAATGAATAAAAGAATCAAGTGTAAGCCAGGCACAGTGGCTCAAGTCTGTAATCCCAGCACTTTGGGAGGCCGAGGCAGGCGGATCACGAGGTCAAGAGATCGAGACCATCCTGGCCAACATGGTGAAACCACGTCTCTACTAAAAATACAAAAATTAGCTGGACGTGGTGGCATGCATCTATAGTCCCAGCTACTCAGGAGGCTAAGGCAGGAGAATTGCTTGAACCCGGGAGGTGGAGGTTGTAGTGAGCCGAGATTGTGCCACTACACTCCAGCCTGGCGCCTGGCAACAGAGAGAGACTCTGTCTCAAAAAAAAAAAAAAAAAGAATCAAGTGTGATAGAAATTATTGTTCAGCACTAAACTCTTCTATAAATGATGAAAAATACTGAATTGTCCCTCAAAAAGTTTAATTTAGCACAGCACAGAGCACTGTTTCTCACACTGTAGCAAGCGTTTGAATTCCCTAGAGTGCTGGTTAAAATACAGCTTGCAGAGCTTCTGACTCAGTAGGTCTGGATGGAGCTTGATAATTTTCATTTCTAATGTGTTCTCAGGAGATCTGATGCTGCTGGTCCAAGGACCACATTTCAAGAACCCCATCCACACATGCATGGTTGTCAACTACGAATCACGAGGTTTGGATACTGGTCCCAGCATTGCCATATGTGGCTGAGGGTCTTAGGGCAAGTAGTTAACGCTCTCTGGGCTTCTTCAGCTGAAATTTGCCTTGTATGATTGCTAATGTCACCTTTATCTCCAAAGTTATCTGAGCACAAAAGGTCTAAAGTACCTCCTTGTGGCATCTGCAGTGCTATCATCTTCATGAAATCTTAGGAAGCAAAGGCACCAGTCAGAACAACAACCACTTTTCAAATCGTGAACTCAAAGAGATCAGCTCCAAGTGATGCGCCAGGAAAGAGCTCAGTAAAAGAGGAGAAAACTGAGGCCAGGACTCAGGAAACTCCCAGGGGCAGAAGATCCCCTTGAAGGAGTCCAGACCAGATTCTAGTATGGACTGAGTGCCTGATCTAAGTTGAGCTGCTGTCCCTGTGCTCCAAGTGCTGAAGGATTTTTTTTAGGAAGCTGAAGTGGCAGGCTCCACAGAACCCAGTGTTGGCTCCATGGCCAGTGTCCCAAGAGAGATGATCTTGGGACCAGATGTAGCCAACAGGTCCTTCCCTGCCTCTAGAATAGATCAAAATATTGTCCCTTTGTTTTGATCTTTGGCATCTCCAAGCAGGGGTTTCCCTCAAGAATGGAATCTTCACCCATGACAGAGTATATGAAGAGGTATCAGTCCTCGGGCATGTTCAAGTGGGGAGAATTACTGGGATTGGTTCCATATCCTCAAAGGGTAAGGGCAAATATGGAATACTGACATACAGAGATATTGACAAGCCAGCCCCCGAAGCTGTCTTTAGAAGATGATAAGGTAACAATGAGGGCCCTGGCATTCTTGACACTGCCACCTAGCGCATTTCATGTAAGACCCAACCTTCACTTTGTGTTGAGCCAGATTTCCACAGTTTTGGCTGCTGCCTTCCCTGTAAGCCCTGCCATCCACTGAGACCCAGCTCAGCCATTCTTGGCACCTAGCTGGGTGAGAAGCCTGCCACTGCTGCTTCATAAGTAAAGCAGCATCCTTCAGGGCCTGGAGCTCCTGGACACAAAAGCCATTTCTGGGAGGTGAGTCATATAGCTCTCAACTGTAAGTGAGCGAGTTAAAAGTAGGCTTGTTGTTCTTTGGTCTTAAACATTTTCTCTTGGTCACTGCCCGTCTCTCTTCTGGTACTTTAAAAAGTTTCTCAATTAATTTAGAAAGCTCGTGGCTAACCAGATAACCACCAACATAACGAACACGTGTGTTATGCCTTGCTTTCCTATGCATTCTCTGATATAATCCCAGCTGCTTTGTCTGCTTTGCCATGAAAAGAGATGGCAAAACCCACAATTACTTTTGCACCAACCTAATACATGATTTCTCTAAAGATTTATGGTCATTTTTAATATGAATCACAATCTAGATGATACAATGGTGAACAGTTAAAAGCAAGGAAGGCAGAAATATGGCTTATGTCTTGCAAGGGCCTTCACATACATTTTCAACTAAAGGAAGCGAATCAGGCTAGATGTGGATATGGGTCCCCTGTGCTTGGCTGTGACTTCAGAAGTAACCTGGTCTTAAGGAGAAGCTCATTCCAGACTCCCAGGTCAAGGGGATCTTCCTGAGGAGGTTTTTTCAGGGACAAATGGCATCTGGGACAGAGCTAGGCAGTGAACATTAAAAATATTTTTGAGTGAGATAGTACCCCTTGACACTGTTGTTTAGACAAAGTCAGGATAATTTTTCTTCCATTTCCTCTTGCAATCTCAAAAAGACAGGTGTGGTTCTGTTGGTCTTGAGGAAAAAAAGTAGCCTATTCAAGGCCTTCTCCACAACAGACTGACTTGGCTCTTCCACTCAACTCTCTGTCCATAAAGCTGCTCTGCCTCCTGAAGCCTATTTCTTCATCCTTCAAGGAGTTGTCCAAACGCAAATTCTCCTCCTGTTGATGGTTCTGCATTGGTGTCAATCACGTCTAATGGAAAACACTTATTATATACAAAAACCTAGCCCCAAACCCAGAGAAAACACAATAATCTTTGCTTGTACCTAGTATTTCCAATTTTTATGCACTTTACTGTTCATTCTGATAACAAGTTCCAAGAGCTGGGTAGAAAATGTTTTCTCCAGGTGAATAAGTTGAGATTCAGCAAAACCAAACGATTTGCCCAAGGCCATGCAATGCTTTGCCCAGTTCAGGAGGTAGGAGAAAGAAAGGTGGGAATGAGACTGGTGAGACTGGTCTTAAAGAAACATCTACAACTGTTTGGTTGCCTCAGTACCCACAATAACCACTCACATGCCTCGCCCAGATAAGGTGAGCCAACCATCGAAAGAATTTGAAAAAGGAAAAATGCTTTATCCCTGAATAACTTTTTCTATTGTTTTAAAAGTTCCAGGAAAAGAGTGAACACTGTGGGATTCCTGCTTGCGGACAATTGTCCAAATGGATCCAAAATGTTCTTCATTGACTCCTGGGTCAACTCAAGACAATGTCAATGGAAGCCAGCATTCACCATCGCACCAAGGCTCATTCCTACCAGGTTAGAGCAGCCATTGTGTGCACATCTGCCTGCCAAGTCCTGCTGATTGCTCTGTTTATTAAATCTCTACTGGCTTCTGTTTTGCATTTTTATTTTCTGCCCAACAAAGGATATGCTGTTCTTTACTAAGATCCTTGATTAAAAATCCAAGACTGAGTCATCTTGCCACTCTCACTGATACTAAACCCTGTTCCTTGGTTCTCATCCACTTCAACTTCCTTCTCCATTCCCCTTATGAGGAGGGGATCTGAAATCCATGTTTCATATTGTCATACACACATGCACATGTATAAACCGTACCCCGAAGGCCTAAGGATGGGGACAGGGAAAGTGGGCAGCTGGGACCTGCCATTCTCCTGATATTATGTGATGCCACAAAAAGGAGCTTCAGGCATTAGCTAATAATCAGGCTCTGAGTTCAAGATCCATGCTTGTACACAGTGTGGGAGAGGGCCAGGACTGGCCAGACTCTCTTGAGCAAACAGAGAAGGTTCTTGTGATCTCAGGGGGTAAGGACTGGATTTCCTGGGATAGCAAATCACCACTGCACTATCAAGCCCATCAAGAAAACACCTCAAGGGCTTCACATAACAGAGAAGCCTAGTTTTCCAGGTGCAAAAGGCCCCTGCCTTGGCATCCTTAACGTGGTGGTCCCTGAAGGTAGCCTTCCAAATTTTGCCTGTGAGTGCCACTGTGTTTCAAAAGCTTCTCCTCTTTAAAAAATAAAAATGGATTGTCAGAATTCTCAGAAATACTGAGTAGAATCTCTTTCACAGAAAAGCAGCATCACTCATACCACTTTGATAGGTGATCTAACCAGTTCTCTGTCTGCCAGACAGGTCCAACATAGGATATCTCTGAGAGAGGAGATGCCTCCTTTATCAAGATCTCCTGGGAGGAAACATCATTTCCCCTCATTTCAGCCATTTCAGTGTCTTGTAATTACTCCTATCCAGAAACTTCTTACAGAGCCAAGTCAAATCTATCTATACTCCTGGAGAACATTTCTTGGATCTGGTCCTCAGAACAAGCTGGAAACATGTTCCTCCATGAAGATCACATTCACAGGGCAGCCTAGAAAATGTTCTTATTAATACAGATAGGAATCATTTTATCTTTGAAGACATACCGTGGTTGAAACTATATATTCATTTCTCACCAAGGAAAGTGCTTTTATCACATGCAACATTACTAATGAGATAGCTACTGAGAACAAAGTCAGACTGCCTTGATTGTTTTAATCTCTCTCAAAACAAAACAAATATGTCATCTGGTTCCCAGAACATAACAGCTCAAGAACAGAATGGTAAATAATACTTTTTAAATTTTAATTTTTTAAGACATAATGACATTACATTATTTAATATCAGTCCCCGGGAGATGATTTTCTGGAGAAAATCAGCAAACCAACCCAAACTTGAGAGCTGGTCACCTGCCATCTGTTCCTACTGTGAGATGTTCGTGACTTATTTGGAAGTGCCCCTCATGAGAGTTGTAAAGTTGTGACATAGCTACACAACTTTGGAGAATTGTGTGTCATACAGAATCAAAGCATTTTGCTGCTAGAAAAGAACTGTGGAGACAATGTGTGGGCCAAGTTTCTCATTTGGCGGTAAGAAGTCTGAGGTCTTAGGACTAGGTCTCTGACATATTTCATTGCACAACGAGGCCTCTCTTGGTTCTTGTGTCCACACAAACCCAGAGTGACATTTTTGCCTCCACTTCCAACTCAGCATTCTTATTTTGGCAGAGACTTTTATGTCCCTGTGATTTAAAATCCTTAGACTTGGCCAGTTGTAGTGGCTCACGCCTGTAATCCCAACACTTTGGGAGGTCAAGGCAGGAGGATCACTTGAGGCCAGAAGTTCTAAACCAGACTGGCTAACATGATGAAACCCCATCTCTACTAAAAATACAAAAATGTGCTGGACATGATGGTGCACACTTGTAATTCCAGCTACTCAGGAGGCTGAGGCAGGAGAATCACTTGAACCTGGGAGGTGGAGGTGGCAGTGAGCCGAGATTGCACCACTGCACTCCAGCCTGGGTGACAGAGCAAGACTCCACCTCAAAAAATAAAAATAAAAGCAAACAAACAAACAAAAATTCCATAGGCTTATGACTAGGAAGAGTCTTGCAACACAGGTGAGAGAAATCCAATCCATTACCCCCACAACTCTTGTCACTTGAAAAACTATGCTTGGTGTGGATAGATTATCCAAGAGTATCCATGGCCAAAAGATAGACAATAAAAGATGCATCAAGACATGAAAGCATCGGACAGGCATTGATGAATAACACGGAATGAAACTGCAAGAGAATAAGAATTGGTGTCTGTTTTGTTTTTCTAAACTCTATGTAACTCCTCCCAGATTATTTTTTTCTTTCTAATGATAACCTTTCCTACCACAGCAGAAACTGGGACCTTTGTTATTTCTGTGATTGTTCTGAATGTGTACCACTGGCTGGGGGCTGAATGCAGGGAAGACCAAGGCGGAGAAATCTGTCTACCTTGTACCCAAGACACTTGGCCACCTGCATGACATGGAGCAAAATTATAACAAAGCACTTCATTGACTGGCTGCAAATGAACCCTTCCTTCTTCCCCACCCTCCCTCCCCACCCTTTGGCAAAAGCTGAGTAAACAGGTACATTTGGTGCCAGGACTAGAAGGTCAACAAACTCCTGCTTTGTCAGAGGGACCTGGGACTCAAGTCAAGAGGACTTCGCGGAAATGCCATACTTCCCGCTCCACAGGTGTTTGAGCCTAAGGATTAGGAGTAAAAGTGTCTCAGGGAAACTTGCCAAGAAGATATGCGGCAGACACCTGATGCGAGGATAAGGCCTGGAGCCCCCTGGAAAGTGAGGTTTTACTATCCCAGTTGATCTCAGCCCTGGGTTGTGTATTGATGATGGTGACTTCCCCTGGAAGGGCTACCACAGATCCCCAAACTCACCTATGGCAGGATAATTTGAAGATGACCCCAAGATTCCTAGGCCTTGGTGTTCAAGCCCTGTATAACGTTCCCATGCTCAAGGGTGGGTGGGTCCTGTGAATACAGTGGAATTCCTCTCCTGAGATTAGCCTGCATTACAGGGCAAAGGGGAAGGGATTTCACACATGTCGTTAAAGTCCCTGATCAGCTGCCTTTGTTTTGGGACATTATCTCATATCCACCTGACTTCATCGGTTGACTTTAAGCTAATCAAAATGGGGACTATCCTGGGAAGCCTGACCTAATCATGCGAGCCTTTGAAAGAATGTCTAGAAGTCAGACATGAAGAAAGTTAGAAAGATTTGAGGCAGCAGAGACATTCTCCCATCGACCTTGAAGAAGCAAACTGCCATGTTATGAAGAAGGCCGTGTGGCCAGGGAGTGGTCTCTCAGAGCTGAGGCCCTCAGTCCTACAAATGCAAAGAGCAGAATCCTGTCAGCAACCAGTGGGCTTGGAAGCAGACATCAAGTCTCACATCAGAACCACAACCCCGGGCTGACCTTGAGTTTAGCCAGTGACACCCTGAGCAAAAGCCCCAGCTACTCCTTGTCTAGATTCCTGACCCATGGAAGATATAGGATGATAAATGCAGGTTGTGTTAAGCCACTGATTTTGTGGTTATATGACAGAAAAATAATGCAACATCCTAGGAATTGCAGGGAGGAAACTTACCCACATTTTCTCCACATCCGTATTCTCTGGACCCACTTTTCCCCTCAAGGTGAATCCTCAAAGTCAGGGCTTGTTTTACACATCGGCCTGGTAGACTGCTGCATGGATGAGAGGTAGGTGGTGGGGTCCTGGGAAAGGCACATAAGATCTCTGGCTGTTGGGGTCATCGAAGGTCTGGTTGATCATGTAAAATGTCTTCTAGAAAAAAAAGCTCATTAGATCTTGTGGGTGATTAATACTTCTTTTATGGTAGATGATCAAATGATTAGACACTGCTAATTTAGTCACAGACTTCATAAATATCCTAAATTTGGGAATGGCTGAACCAGAAAGCAGCACGTCCACCAAAAATCCCTAAAGCAAGTGTCTACCAATGTCTGAACTCAGAATCAGACCTGGGGCATGAGCCGCAAGGAGCATGCTGCATTCCTATGCCCGGGGGACTATTCTCACATGTTATAACTAATGCCAAACCTGTCTCTCTCTGACTCGGGGTTTAGAACTTAGTCATTGGAAACTGCATAGCAGATTATGTCATCTAGTTCCTGTATTTGACGTATGAGGAACCGAGGTCCAGAGACATTAGCTGTTTTTCCCAAAGCCACACAGCCAGAAGTGACAGAGGCAAGACCAAAACTCCAGTCTTTCAGCTGCTCTCCATCTGCTCACCTTCCCTGTAGCACAGAATGAGCCAACAGCTGCCTGTGAGTCAAACGCCATTGCTCTCCAACAAGGCTTTCATGTCGGGTCTCGCCTCAGTCTGAACCCAGCTGTCCTTGCTGTGCCTGGAAACAAGACACAGCTCTCCCGACAGCCCAGCTTTCTTCTCGTGTGAGCTGTGCCATCGGCTCTAGCACCTTTCATTGCTAAGCAATGACGAGGTGATTCAGCTGTCCTGAGACCCAAACCTTACTGGGTGGCTTAGTTTCCTGTGGCTGCAGTAACAAAATGCCACAGACTGGGTGACTTCAAGCAACAGAAATGCATTAACTTCTCACTGAACTGGAGGCTGGAAGTCTCAAATCCAGGTGTCAGCAGGGCTGCGCTCCCTTCCCAGGCTGGAAGGAAGAACGTTTCCTCGCCTCTCCCAGCTCCTGAGGGTTGCCGATCATCACTGGCCCTTCCCTGGCTGTGGCTGCATCTCTCCAGCCTCCTCCTCTCTTCCCAATGGGACTTCTCCTCTGTGTGTGTCTGTGTGTCTTCTCTTCTTTTGAGGGCACGAGTCACGTTGGACTTAGTGCCCACTTTAATCCAGTATGACCTCATCTGAACTTAATCAGTTACCTCGGCAAAGACCCTTTTTCCAAATGAGGTCAGGTTTGGAGGCTTTGGGTGGGCGCAAATTTTTTTCTTTTTTTTAACTTTAGGTTCTGGGGCACGTGTGCAGATCATGCAGGATTGTTGCATAGGTACATACATGGCAATGTGGTTTGCTGCCTCCATCCCCCTGTCACCTGTATCTGGCATTTCTCCCCATGTTATCCCTCCCCAACCTCCCCACCCTCCACTGTCACTCCCTTATTCCTCCCCGAAAGAACCCAGTGTGTGATGCTCCCCTCCCTGTGTCCATGTGTTCTCATTGTTCAACACCCGCCTATGAGTGAGAACATGCGGTGATTGATTTTCTGTTCTTGTGTCAGTTTGCTGAGAACAATCATTTCCAGATTCATCCATGTCCCTACAAAGGACATGAACTCATCATTTTTTATGGCTGCATAGTATTCTATGGTGTATATGTGCCACATTTTCCTTGCCCAGTCAATCATCGATGGGCATTTGAGTTGGTTCCAGGTCTTTACTATTGTAAACAGTGCCTCAATGAACATACGTGTGGGTAGGCACAAATTTTGAGGGGATTCTGTATAATCCAGTACACTGGGTTTTATATGTGTGCCCAGAGCTAATCTCAACCAGCTTCCCCAAGAGTAGAGATACTTGGTACGTGCAGCCTTCTCCATCATTTCTGTTCATTGCCCAGCCCCACCAGAGGCTGTTATAACCCAGCCCCCAGACATTAGGCAGAGCTAAAAATCACTTTAGAGAGCATCCAGCCAATGGCTGTTAATCCTGTCCCCCCTGAGAATCATGTAAGGAGAGTTTAACAACACCCATGCTCAAGCCCAGAGACTCTCATCCAGCTGGTCCGAAGTGTGGTGTGGGCACTGGTGGTTTTTATAGCTACACCAATGATTCTCATATGGATCCAGGGATGAAAACCCACCAATCTGGCCCAGGTTTTTAGTTTTCAGATGAAACACTAGAGGCTCCAGCCATGACCCTTCCCTCCATCTCCTACTGCCATCAGCAAGCCTTTAAGCTGCCAATTCTCCAGCTGGGGAATTCTGCCCCCCTAGATGGGGCAAGGCCCCCAAAGTTGGCAGAACAAAGTCCCTGTGGTGGCCCGCACCCTTTACTCATGAGGGAGAAGCAAATAAGACCCCTGCATGACCACCAGGCAAGACGGCAGCCACCTCGCTGCTGTCACAACGTCCTCATCAATTAGTGACACGCACCCGTGACCTCTGGAATGACACAGTGCTTGTGCAGGCTTTGCACACTGTAAAGTGCTATGCAAATGTGCACCATCACTCTTATTACTTCATTTGTGGTAGCAGCCCTTCAGCCTCAGCAACTTTGCAAACATGCTTAAGTGTATACTTCACCCACTTATCCGTTTGGTTTCCACGACATGTGTTCTTGGGTCTCTTTCTGGCCATTTACTCTATTTTCTCATTGCAATTGCACATTTTTTAAAGGCAAGAGCATTTCTGTTGCCTTCTTTTCAATCTTTATGCATTCCAGTATGGTACTTGAGACAACAAATTCTTCTTTTTCTTGCCCAAGCTGGTGAAAATATGCCAAAGTATGCGGCAGAGAGGCTTGCCCAGCACCTGAAGTACCACCAAATGACCTGAAGTTTTTCTTTTGAACAATACTGTCTTTTGGGACCAGTAAGTCATTTATGAGCTGCTGCAACAACAAGAAGAAGAAGCCATTGAAAGATACTGATGGAAGCAAAGCGAGCCCGACTGCTCAGCACTGCCCAAGAACTCTAGGCACCCTCTTATCTCATTTTCTCTTTCTTGGCTCCAAATGTGGGTGATCCTGAGATCATGAGAAGAAATCATGTGACAGAAACGGGGCCTCTGCAGCTCAGTCAGTGACAGATAGTGAAAATGCAAAGAACCTTATGAAAATGACTTGTGTTTTTTTCTTTTATCTTAGTTCAGTCCACACTTTAGGGAAAATGTATCCAAATGGTAAGTATATACTACTATCTACATTTTAAATGATTTAGCATATTAAATGACAAGAAAGGGCTGGCTAGAGTCTGGGCAGAGTGTCCAGGCAGGTCTGGGGGCCACTGACCTCCCCCTATTCACAAATCTCTCACAAAGCAAATCGCAGCTTCCCAGAAGGTCTACAGGGCTTACACACCTGTGGCCTGTGCCACAATCTCCTCCGCCATTGCTACAGAGTCTCCCTCCTCCCATTCCCTCCCTTCCTGCCTCCCTCCTCCCTATCTCTTCCTTATCCCTTCCCCACACCCTTTTAAGTCCTGTACCTGGAAACTCCAAGGCCAATGTCTTTTTTAGATTTGGTGGTTGGGTTTCCTGAGCAGGAAAACGTGGATAGAGTCATTCCTGGGCCACCTTTCTGTGGATCTGTATGGAAGCTGCCTACTTGTTTGATGAGAGGCTGCTGGAGTCTTTCCTTTACTAAGGAGTCATTTAAGCCAGCCCTCCAGCATCCAAAAAAGAGCCAGGAGAGAGGTAGGCTTTGGTGACAGAGGAGCTAAGCACTGCATTGTGATAAAAGTCACAAACATATACAGTACAATCATCACTATTTTCTTCTTCTGAGCCACAAAACAGCTGAGGTACAGACTAGGTGGCAGTCCAAGGACCGAGACCTGGCCAGCCAGAGGCACTGGGTGGTCCAGGCTGCCAGACTTTTTTCAGTACACTTATTCAATGAAATCAAATCGATGGATTTATTGATTGCTTGGCAATTAATGCAGGAGCAATTAAGTTGGCCATAGGATAGAGGGTCATCCCCATGGACGCTTGAGTGTCCAGCAGTAATCTCCGTGTTCCCACCAGCAGCAGATCCCCATTTCCTTAGCCTCTGACCCCACCATGTGCAGCCCCCCCCATTCTTCAGGGTCAGGCAAGGAGCCACGGAGGAGCTTTGGGCACCTCCTGGGGCAGGGACCTTGAGAACAGGTGGGCTCAGGAAGGTGTGCTGGCCCCAGGACCCAGGGCTAGCCAGGAGAGGAAGCAGGAGTCTTGGAGCTCAGGAGCCAGAGCCTTGCCCCTTCCATAAGCTCCTCATCCATCTCTGAGCCCTTGGCTCATTCAGTTCCAAGAAGGAGCACTGGGATCCTGGGCTTAGAGGGAGAAGGTTTCAGAGCAGTCCAAGAGCTCTCTCCAATTTCTGCAGTACACGAGGCAGTGCCCAGCACTTTCTGTTTTCACAAAAAGAAAACAGGTGAGAGGTACCAAGAGCGAGTTGTGTTCAAGTTAGGCCTGACAAGGGCCTTCTTGTCCTGGAAGGTATTTCTATGGCAAAACAGAAAACCACAGGACAGAGGGAAACGCCCCCCCCCCCCCGCAGGCATTCTTTAGCACATCAGAAAACACAGCCTGACCATTTGGGTATGGCAGTCCTGGAAGCCGGGGCTGAGACCAGCAGGGTCATTTCACGCTTGACTTCTCTGGCCTGGAAAGGCCACCCTTTGATGCAAGGGCCACCCTGAGCTGACACCCAGAGGCCTGGGCTAGGTTTGGATGAAGTCCCAAGGCTGTGTGGGCCTCAGTCCATGGGGGTCAACCCAGCTGTCAAGGTATGGTCCATCTGGCTTCAGGGAATGGGAGGAAGCGCCACCTAGTGGTGATGAGGAGGGCCTGGCCCGGTGGGGAAGGGCTCTGGCATTAGACCACCCACATTGATTGATCTGTGTTTCCACCCCTCAGCGCCTCAAGTAAATATCACACAATTGAAAACAGTGTCTCCAAGCCAGACAAGAGGGGTCCCAGATAGAGCCGTCAGCCCACTGTGGCGGCCATCCAGTTCACAATGTGCCTGACAGACAGCTAGGCCAGCCCTGGCAGTCCCTGGTGACCAGACGAAGGGCACAACTGAGCCGTGACCGATATCACAGGGGTGCTGCCTTGTTGTAGGGAACCAGGAATTCAGAGCATAACTGCCTTCCACCTCTGTGAGGAAGGTTCAAGGTCTTATACACTCATAAACTCAAGCCCTGTCCATTTCAACAAATTACTTTTTTTTTTCCGGGCTGTTAAGAACAAATTTCAGAAAAATTAATTTGCATGCAGCCAGCTGTTTTTTAGCCTTTATAGAGAACTTCTAAGATAGCACCTTCTACACGATTGTGGGATGTTCTTCCCATTTTCCAGATGAGAAGAGTGAGGCTGAGAGGTTAAATGCTCGTTCAGATATGCCAGAGGCGTGCTGGGCGCCGTGGCTCACACCTGTAATCTCAGGACTTTGAGAGGCCAAGGCGGGGGAGATCACCTGAGGTCAGGAGTTCAAGACCAGCCAGGCCAACATTGAGAAACCTGTGTCTATGAAAAATACAGTATTAGCCGGGTGTGGTGGTGCATGCCTGTAATCCCAGCTACTTGGGAGGCTGAGACAGGAGAATCACTTGAACCCGAGAGGCAGAGGTTGCAGTGAGCTGAGATCACGCCATTGCACTCCAGCCTGGGCAACAGAGTGAGAGTTTCTCAAGGAAAAAAAAAGATATGTCAGAGATACCTGGGGTGGATTCAGGACTTTATGACTACTGGGGATTTTGCTGTTTTGTTTTTTGTTTTTTGTTTTTTTTTCTTTTTGAACACCCTTAAAAATCATTCTAGGGAAAAGTCCAGTAACATGTGTAACTTTTCAGGTTTTTTTTTTTTTTTAACAGGATCTCGCTCTGTCACCCAGGCTGGAGTACAGGGGCACAAACATAGCTCACTGCAGACTCCATCTCCCAGGCTCCAACAATCCTCCCGCCTCAGCCTCCTGAGTACCTGGGACTACAGGCAGGCACCACCCCACCCAGCTAATGTTTTTTATTTTTAGTGGAGCCAAGGCCTCGCTATGTTGCCCAGGCTGATCTCAACTCCTGAGTTCAAGCAATCCTCTTAACTCAGCCTCCCAAAATGTTGGTATTATGGGCGTGAGCCACCGCACCCAGAAGAACTTATTACATCTTAATGCCAGAAAGGACAAAGCAAGTAGGCAAAGACCTTGATGATATTTGAATACATCCCCTTTAACAAAACCAAGAAACTTTCTAAGCAAGGATGGTTCTCTTTCCAGGCCCTAGAATTCTTCTAGAACCTGGGTAGATCCAGAAGATCTGAAGAGCCTCACACTGTCTTAGCAGGTGCTGGCTACATATGTAGGTCAGAGCTTCAGAAACAGACCTAACTCAGACCTGCAAGTGTGAGCCATCTGCAGGGGAACAGAGCCCAGCAGATCAGCTGAACCATGGGGAATGTTAGGCCAGCTCCCAATGGCCTCTGTCCTTATCACTCACCCAGGACTACATCACAGAATCCACTACAGAAGGGCATCAATGAAGAGATGGGAGAGGGAGGTGTCATCAAGAAAAATAGTTTCTCTTCCAGAGTGTTCTCTTCCTCTCTTCCAGAGGACAAGTTTATACAGCCAGGGGCGACCAGAGCCAGAACATTAGGGTAAGACAGACTGTGGCAGTCCCGAAAAAGGGTAAAATGGATGCAGGTTGGATAAGATCCCATTGGTGGCCCAACCCAGGCCTTATAACCTAAGTCAATGGCTTCCTCCTCCCAAATATGCAGCTCCATGCTGCTGAACACAATTTCTTCTGGACCATGACTTGACCTGCCACTTCCCCAGGCAGCTGTTGACTCTCTTGGCCTAAATGGCCTCCTTCAAGGCAAGGCTCATAGAGGATTCAACCAGAACCCTCTGCAATGGGAACAATGACTGCGTCAATCCACCAGCTGCAATGGCAGGTGCCACCCCTGCTGCATTCCTGAGATCACAGAAACAGAAAGGGCTTCCTGATGCCCCAGACCTGCAAAAGCACTGGGGAATAGTGTAGTCAGTCCCTTTGTGACCAGGGGCCACATGCATCCCTTATAAAGTGGCCATGCCCTGAAATGCATGTAACTTATTAAACCAAAATACCAACGTCTCCAGGGAAACTGGCCACATAGAATAATTTAGACTTACACCACTATATGAAAGAGGAGTCATTTTGTCGTATGAACAACATCCCCCAAAGCATCCACTTCACGGATCTAGGGTTTTGTGAATTATGTGTGCCTAGAAGGAAGGATATCTTGGTTCTCTTAACTGTAAAATAAAAGAAGGGCTGAGATTTTCTTGTTTAAAAAAAAAAAAAGTCTACTGGATATGATGACTCATGCTTGTAATCCCAGTAGTTTGGAAGGCCACGGTGGGTGGATTGCTTGAGCTCAGGAGTTTGGGACCAGCCTGGGCAACATGGTGAGACCCTGTCTCTACTAAAAATAAGAAAAAAAAAAAAAATACCTAGGTGTGGTGGTGTGCATCAGTATTCCCAGTTACTCGGAAGTCTGAGGTGGGAGGATCACTTGAGCCTGTGGTGGGGGATACTGGGGGCGGGAGGCAGAGACGCAGTGAGCCCAAATCATGCCACTGCACTCCAGCCTGGATGGCAGAGTGAAAACCTGTTTCAAAAATAAAAAAAAAAAAAAAAAAAAGCCATTCATCTAAAATTCTTCCAAAGCCTACTTATGAACCACTGGAAGGGGGAACTTGAGGGCTGGGTGGGTTGGGCTAAGAGTGACTTACTGCTTACAACTCAGGTCAGGTGGCGGTGAGAGGGGACGGAACTCATCCTGCATGCTGGGTGTGGGTGGAGGGTGTGCATGAATGTCTGGCTGTGGGAGTACGCTCGTGGGTATGTGAGAGTGTGTTTGTGACAATGGTGTATGTGCATGCATGTAAGTGTGTCTGCTGTATGTGTCTGTCTGCCTATCTTGGAGGTGAAGGGCTTGAACATATATTCAATTCCTAAAGATAGACTTATAGACTGGAAATTACTGAGACCTCTGGTCTTTGACAGTCTTCTTTTGGGCTGATTGTGTCACTGCATTTCCGTTTGCTGCAGTATCCACAAAGTAGAACCTTGTGATGCTCTCATGTTCCTCTGCAGCCTGCTTTAGGACATTCCATGTTTAGAAGGGAAGTTTGGATGTCGGACGCTGTGGCTCAAATCTGTAATCCCAGCACTTTGGGAGGTGAGGTGGGTGGATCGCTTGAGCTCAGAAGTTTGAGACCAGCCTGGGCAACACGGTGAAACCCCGTCTCTACTAAAAACACAAAAAATAGCCCAGTGTGGTGGCACACACCTGTAATTCCAGCTACTCAGGAGGCTGAGGCAGGAGGATTGCTTAAACTTGGGAGGTGGAGGTTGCAGTGAGCCGAGATCGCACCACCGCACTACAACCCAGGCAACATAGCAAGACTCCATCTAAAAAGAAAAAAAAGAAAGGTGAAGTTTGGGTCTTTATAAACTAATTTTCTGGCCTCTTGGGCAACTAGAAGAGAGAATGGAATCCTCTCCATCTAGAAAAATTTCCTCATAGCCTGAAAAGAAGAATTTGTTCACTGTTTGTCCATATTTGCATTTTGTATGCTATGTCTTGAAGAACAAATGCATTTTGTTTTTTAAAACACATTGTAATGAAGATTTTGGTCCAGCGGAACAACCCTGGAATGTTTCTCACCTCCTTACACACATGAAGCTTTTTAGGGAATCAAGGGTGTGGGCTGGGGGTGGAGCTGAAGGCAGAGTTGGGGTGGGGCTGGGAAAGGCCGCCCAGAACAAGCCCTTTCCTACAATTCCACATAAAAGTGGAACACCCTGCAGGGTGCCTATGCCAGTCACCTGGACAAGAATCATTTGCAGGTGTCTTTTCAGGCCTCTTTAAAATGTCTTTGTGATTCACAACTGAAGTACTGATTATCTCTAATTCAAATGCCCACAATCTCGGGTTCAAACTTGCTCTCACCATTTTATTTTATTTTATTTTATTTTATTTTATTTTATTTTATTTTATTTTTGAGACAAGGTCTTGCTCTGTTACCCAGGCTAGAGTACAGTGGTGCAATCTCAGCTCATTGCAACTTCCACCTCCCAGGCTCAAGCGATCCTCCCACCTCAGCCTCCCTAGTAGCTGGGACTACAGGTGCTCACCACCACATCCAGCTAATTTTTGTATTTTTAGTAGAGACAGGGTTTCACCATGTTGGCCAGGCTGGTCTTGAACTCCTGACCTCAGGTGATCCACCCCCCTTGGCGTCCCAAACTGCTGGGATTACAGATGTGAGCCACCATGCCAGGCCCATCCTCACCATTTTAAAGGAAGTCCATATCATTCACTTTATTTCTGGAAACCTAAATGGGGAATGGAGAATGTAAAATGAAAAAAAAATTAAAAGAGTTTGGTTCCATTTAAACATTTTTATAATTTGTTTCATTTTGAAGTCACAAAGTGTTTATGTTAATCATTTTAATGCCTAAGAATACAAAGTTAGCACTAGTAATATCTGGGAGTCTAATCATTTACCATGTTTAAATGTAACATTACAAAACTTCATTTTAAAATCTGACCCCTAACCAGATGTGAAACAACGTGGACAGGGTGACACGTGCTGGAATTAACCTCCAAAAACCTAGTTAACAAAGACAGCGGCTGCTGGGGGAAAACTGCAGCAGTCACAAGTGGGGAGAGAAAGAGCCCACTCTGTTACAGACTTTGTTTCTTTTGCTAGACATTTTTTCACCTAATCCCAGGATAGTTTCTGTTAATGTGTCTTACTCTCTTTCAAACAAATCACCCCTAGAGCAGGTGTACACATTAAAACGGAGCTTTATAGCATCAAACACATACCACAACCAACTCTTCAAGGAGTGTTTTCTGTAAGATGTGTGCAAATGTCAGAGGAATACAGTCTGGGCAATAAGACTCAGCTCATGTGAGGTCCTGATGAGTATCTGAATGACCTCACATTTTCTCTTCCACGCCTGGGGTTAAGGCCAGCACCCAGCCCACACACAAAGCTGTGATGAGAGGCTGGTTAGGGATGGTGGAGGCAAAGCCACAGATCAGCTAGAAACTCTTCTGAGTCAATAGTTTCTACTTCCTCCCTAACTGAACCGTTTGCCAGAACTGCCCAGGACTTGCCACCATGAATTTAATCTCCCTGGATTTTCCCTGCCTGATGTCTAGATGAGACAATGAAGGGCAGAGAAGCAACAGTGACCACGTTAGCCCCACACGATACCATCAGCACTGAGGGACTCCAGCCCTGGGTCTCAGAGAGAGCAGCCAGGAGAAGGAACCAAGGTATGCTTAGTTCGCGTTCCAGGGCAGGGAGGTTCCCCAAGTTGCAGCGGATATTAAGAGTCCTGCTGAAGGCACAATCTCCAAGACAGGGGAGGGAGCAAGGACGGGAAGCTGGAACCAGAGGCACTGATAAGCACCCTCCTCCTTGCCTTTCCTGGCAGCAGAGGCAGTGGCATCCTGGAGCGGAAGTGAGGCAGAGCGGGGGTGATCCAGGGCTTTCGGTTCCTGCTGGTCCTTGCATGCACATCTGTGGGCTCCACAATTCCCCACTCCTTGAAATCTAACCTCAAGCACTTTCTCTGGCACTGCAGTGACCAATCTTTTTGCATGGTTTAAGTCCTCTGTGTATGATCATCAAGGCATTACCAAAAGATCCCCTCACAAGTCCTTTAAAATAAAATAACGCAATGCCATATATGAATGAAATTGTGTGAGAGAGAGAGAGGACAAATGAGATAATGAAGATTTGGAAGATGTTCTCCAGTAGGTTATCAGTCATTAAGAGGAATGACATTTTAGGTGATTTTTTAAATGTCCTTCTTTATACCCTCTGATAGTGCTTTAAAATATTAAGACAGGTGTATCTCCATTTGTAATTACAAAACAGTATTTTCATTTTTAAAAAAATTAATGTTTTAGAGAAAAAAAAGGCTACCAATGATTATAAAAACTCTCAGAGACAGACCAGTTTCTTTTAAAAATTGAAGGAACTGAATCCAAACCTAATTTGAAATGAAAATCAAACTAAAATGAAAACTTAAAATGAAAATTGCATGCCCTAAATATCATAGATTCCAATGTCAGTGAATGTCACAGATATAAATTAACATAATCTGGACAACTGGTGTGTCTAACAACAGATACTAGTATATTCAGATACATAAGTGAGCTGACAAATTACAAGGCCATATATCACTCAGGGTTGAGTGGGTCCCACTACTGGTGTTATTTTGTGAAGGACTTATTTGGGGGAAATGCACAGAAAACACTCTTTTTGTATCCTCACTCATTCAATTGAAAAATAAGACAGAGATAGCCCAGCTTCATTTCATTCTTTTTGCAACATCTGAATATGCGTGTTCAATCTCTTGATCAGCTGGACACGTATTTGTGAACTCATCTCTAGAATAAGCATTATTCAAGTATCTCCAGATGCCAGTCATTTCAGAAGGAAATTCAAAATCTCTGTACTTCTTGGCCACAATCTGAAAATGAAGAGAAAATGATCAGTAAAGGGAAAACTTACTCAGGCAGGTTCCCAAATCAAACGGTCCATTCTTTTGAGCCATGTAATACATTCTTTCTCAGCTCCCCATGTCATCCTACAGTCATCCGGGCTACCCACCATGACATTTTGACTTGCATAGGGCCACCTTGGGTGTGGGGAGTGCTGTAAAAGTCCTGGACTCACGGCAGTGGCTGCACATACTTCTGCCCACCAATTTGTCACAGACAGGCCTTGGGATCTGCTGGCACGAGTATGCTCTGGACTCTGGTGGATTTCTCCTTGTGTTGCCTGCAATTTTCTTTCCAGATGTTGTGCTACTGTGTTATTTGGTGCTATGTGAATAAAGATGCATGGTGGATCTGCCATTTAAATGGTGCCCTCTCTTCTTCCTACTTGCTGAAACTCACTTCCTCCAGTCCCAAACCTCTGTGCATGTTATTCTTCCTGAATGCCATCATGCTGCCACTAAGAGCATTGTCTGATTGTGGGGCCTCCCTGCAGGGAGGATAACAAAGCAGATGCAAATCCTTACCCCCAAACTGTACCAGTTTGCTAGGGTTGCCATTACAAAGCACTGCATGCTGGGTGGCTTAGAACAGAAGTCTACTGTCTCCTAGTTCTAGGGGCCAGAAGTCCAAGATCAGGGTGTCAGCAGGGCCATGCAGCCTCTGAAGGCATTAGGGAAGGATCTCTCTCAGCTTCTGGCAGTGACTTGGCTGTGCAAGCATAACTCCACACGGCCTTCTCCCCATGTCTCTGTTCCCAAATTTCCCCTGTTTGCAAGGATAACAAAGAAATGTTTCTTCTCCCTGATCCTCCTTCCAATGGTTGTAATTACATCTAGTTTGTTATATTCTGACTCTATTTGTTGTTACTGAATTGTGACAGCAAAGAAGGCCACCCTGGATTAGGTCCATCTCACTCCAAGATGACTTCATTTTAACTAATTGCATCTGCAAAGACCCTATTGTAAAATAAGGTCACATTCTGAGGTACTGGGGATTAGGATCTCAACATGGGAGTTGGGAGGAGGGCACAATTCAACCTGAAGTAGGGACCCAGAGCCACAAAGGACAGTTCAGCTTTGCTGCCTCTGGTCCCACTGGTCCCCGGGATGTCTGCATGATTCGAGCAGGGAATTTACCACAAACGAGAAGATCTTTGGGGCTTACTGCACAGACTTCGGAGGCCAGCAGTCATTGATGCAATGTGACAGCAAACAAGGGCCATATAATTAACAAAGAGCCTACTAAATTATTTGAGGCCTCTTTCTTGAATGCAAACTTCTTGATGCTTATATTAAGAAGTCCGATTTTCTTTTGTTTGTAGGTACCTAGTTTTTCTTTGGCCGTCTTTTTATGTTAACTTTCCTGGGTAAATTTTCAAGGCCATGCCTCTGAACGTGACACTGAACTTGGTTTTCTGTCTTTCTTCTGTGTACATGTGTGTGTTCCCCTTTCTGGTCATTTAGAAGGTTTATGGCCATGTTAACTCTCCAGCGGTTTCCTATATAGCCTTAAGTAATAGGAATTCTCTATTTCTTGATTGAATAATAGGATTCTCTATTTTTTGAGACATAGTCTTGCTCTGTAACCCAGGCTGGAGTGCAGTGAAGGATCTCCACTCACTGCAACCTCCACCTCCCAAGTTCAAGTGATTCTCCTGCCTCAGCCTGCCGAGTAGCCAGGATTATAGGCATGCACCACCACATCCAGCTAATTTTTGTTTTTTTAGCAGAGACGGGGTTTTATCATGTTGGCCAGGCTGGTCTCGAACTCCTGGACCCAAGTGATCCACCTGCCTCAGCCTCCCAAATTGCTGGGATTACAGGCATGAACCATGGTGCCTGGCCTTGATTTATCAATTTTAGGTGCTGCCTGTGAATTCCTGATGATGACAAATGAGGAAATGTATGTACCTATACTTCTTTCCATTTCTTCTCCCTTATCCTCCTTCCAATGGTTGTAACAACAACATCTAGTTTTATATTCTGAATCTATTCTGTCCCTATAATTCCCACTGCTATGTGGTCTTAGGACTAGTTTCAGCTTTAAAGAGGTTCTCCGTTTAGCATCCGCTTTTATATCACACACCTTCTCTGTTTCTGGATTCTTACTTTGATCATGATTTTATTATTTCATGATAGAGAAATTTTATGTTTTTTAAAAAAGAGACCAGAGGTCTAGGTAAAAACAATAATTGCCTGGATATAAAATTCTTACTTCACACAACCTTTCCCTTAATTCTCTGCAGATATTAAACCACAATTTTCTGATTTTTAATGAGGTCATGAAGACATCTGGGGTCAGTTTGAATTAGTCCCCTATTTCAGTGGCTTTATTTCATTCTTTTCATTATTATTATTACTGTTATTGTTTTATGGTATTATTATTGTCTAGGTGCCAAAAAGACTTGTTTTTTATTCTCAAAGCTCAGTAATGTATTAAGTATGCCTCAGTACGTTGATCTTTTTGGGGCAATGTTTAACATCGTATGTCATTTAAACTAAAGATTCAGGTCAGCCTTTAGTTCAAAGTAATTTCCCCTCAAACCTTCCCAGATTTCCCCCCCTTTTCCTTTTCTGTTCTCTTCTTTCTGGTTATGTATATCTGAAATCTCTCTAATCACCTTTATCTCTTCCATTCTTCTTCATTCCATTGTAGATGACTTTCTCAGGCCTGTCTTCCAAGTCACTGAGAGCAAGGCCACAAACACATACCACAGACCACAACCAACTCTACAAGAAGGGTTCTCTGTAAGATGTGTGTGAATGTCAGAGGAAATCAATTTCAGCAATGTCTTTGGCTGTGTCTTACTACTTCTAACAGGACCTCTATTTCTGCCATTCTTTTATTTGTCTTTACTTTTCTTCTTGAGCTCTGCCAGCCTGATTTCCATCCCCTTCGTGATAATATATTCTTCAACATCTTGTGTCTTGTCTTTGAGCTTTTTCTCAAAAAGCCCATATTCTCTTTCATTTCTTTGAGGCTGTTGAAAAGTTTCTGTCTGGAATGTGCTTTAATGTGCTGGAGGAGCAGTCCTTGATCATATATGTATTTCCTGTCTGCCTTTTTTTGGTTTTCGTTTCTTGTCTTTATCATTCCTCCTCCCCCTCCCTCCTTGTCAATCATCTCTATCTACACTGAGGTCTCACTGGCATTTTCCCTGGTATTCGCCATCTTTGAATGAGGCAGGCCTACTGGACCTAACATTTGCTGAAAAGCAGTGGGGAGGGCAAAGGGAGTGAGATGTGGCAGGTGGCCAACCAACTGGAATATCTGCTCCCAAGCACCTTCTCACCAACCACTTCTGTGCCCCAGAGAGACACATTCGAGTTGGGGTTAGGATTAGGGTTGGGGTTGGGGTTGGGGTTAGGGTTAGGGTTAGGGTTAGGGTTGGGGTTGGGGTTAGGGTTGGGGTTGGGGTTGGGGTTGGGGTTGGGGTTAGGGTTAGGGTTAGGGCATCCTCTGCTCTGAGACTTACAGATTAAGCAGAAGGCCATCATAGCTAAAAATGAAGCTTGGGCAATTTGTAGTCTCTCTCTTGATTGGTTGGGCCTAGTTTCTGTCTTCTGCTCAGCAATCACAATGCAAAATGCCACTTCCCTTCCTTCCTCCCACTTTACCTCCCCTTGAGACTGTTCCTCTGGATTAGGGGCTGGGTCACAGCCTATACTGATGGCACCTCTGTAGGCTCCTCCTTCAGTTCTGCCTCCCTAGAGATCTCAGTTCAACAACAGTCTTTATAGGGAAGTTCCTTGTTTCCCTCCTGGCCCACCTCCTGCTCTAGTCCTCAAGCAAAGGAGTTTGAGTGGGGCATTTCAGGACTGTGTTCTTTACCTTTTGAGAAACCCGAACTTTGCTAAAGATACAAAGAAACATGTAATGGGTCTGTGGCTCCTCCCACCAAAAGAAGCCTCCTACTCTTTAAGTTGGAGATCTGTCTTCCTTTGTAGTTTTACAAAAGATGAAGCAAATACCCTATTTTTATATTGTTTTTGCTGGGTTTCAGGCAGGGGAATAAATTATAAATCCCTTCACATGCGCTTTTACCATAATTCCCTTAGATTGATTCTCATTTCCTTTCAGAAGTACTCCATCCTGGAAGCTCATTAAGCTGTTGGGTATTCTGAGTGCTAAATGGCTTTGTAGATTTTGCTGCTGTGTCTTACAGAGGAGCCGTGAACTGCTTTCTCTCACTCTAAAGCTTCCCCTTCCTACTGAAATTTAAAATCATCTTTTCTTATTGGAGCCAAACAAGGGGACATGAATGGTCTATGGCTGGGATATTTCTCCCCTATTCCTCAACTTTCGTGTATTTCTGCAATACTATGCTGGTCACAGTAGGGACTAAAAAGCATTTACCAAAAGGGACTCGATGAAAATACAACTGCGTAAATACCCTGTTAGAAGGCAGTTCCCAAATTTAGCAGGTTTTGAGAGGTGTAGATGATTTCATTCAATTTTGGATGTCTGTGGACTGGCAAAGCTACTGAAGAGACACCTCCCCAAGGAATCAGCAACCTCCTGAAGGCCAGCATTTCAAGATGGCATCCTCAAGCACAAGAAGGAAGGGAGAAGAAGGGAGCAGCATGGCCAGGACTGAGAGGGGAAGAGGACAGAAATAAGAAAGGCAGGAAGACAAGGCAAAAGAATGAAGCAGAGTCACCAGGGGTAGCTGGGAGTCCACAGGAGCCTCAGTGCCATAGACTGTGTGAAGCTAACATGTAATTTATTTATTGGTTGGTTGGTTGGTTGGTTGGTTTTGACAGAGTCTTGCACTATTGCCCAGGCTGGAGTGAGAGCTCAGTGCAACCTCTACCTCCTGGATTCAAGTGATTCTTGTGCCTCGGCCTCTCGAATACATGGACTACAGGCACACACCACCACATGTGGCTAATTTTTTAAATTTTTTGTAGATATGGGGTTTCGCCATGTTGGTCAGGCTGGTCTCAAACGCCTGTCCTCAAGTGATCTGCCCATCTTGTCCTCCCAAAGTGCTAGGATCACAGGCATGAGCCACTGCGCCTGGCCGCTAATGTGTAATTTCTAAATGCTAACTAAATGTGTTATTAGAACACACAGTCCATGACTTATTTTTCCCTGTGTTTCTCTCCCCTGCCCTTATACCAACAACCTGGCTCTGGCCCTGACAGAGGCAAGGCATGGGCTTCTTCATGAGGTATCTGGAGATGCTAAGGGCCAAGGACATAGCAATCTTGATCATCAGAATCACATTCGACTTCTATAAGTGATAGAGCGGCTGGGAGCCCTGCGGTGCTGAGAACCAGCAACAACTATGGAGTCCAAGTGTGGGGACATCTGCTTGGACCTCCAGGGGTCACTCTCGGCAGCTCTGATTTACTAGGGCAGGCAGTGGACCTGGGACTCACATTTCTAAAAAGCTCCCCAAAGGGCCAGGCACAGTGGTTCATGTCTGTAATCCCAGCACTTTGGTAGGCTGAGGTGGGTGGATCAGGAGGTCAAGAGATCGAGACCATCCTGGCCAACATGGTGAAACCCCGTCTCTACCAAAAATGCAAAAATTAGCTGGGTATGGTGGTACACACCTGTAGTCCCAGCTACTCAGGAGGCTGAGGCAGAAGAATCAATTGAATTCAGGAGGTGGAGGTTGCAGTGAGCCGAGATCACACCACTGCACTCCAGCCTGGCAACAGAGCAAGACTCTGTCTCAAAAAAACAAAAAACTCCCCAAACAGTTTGTATGCCTACTAACGTTGGAGAACCAGGGGTCTGGGAGGTCTTTAAGCCCTAATAATACATGATTCATGGCTCTTAAATCATGTTCAGCTGCTATATGGGAAGGCAGGGAACAAAATACGGTAGAGACTTAGCCGAAAGTTGCCAGCTGCTCCCTGGATGTTGAGGGTCAATTTTTTTAATAAATAAATACTTAATTACCGATGGGGTCGCACTCTGTCACCCAGGCCAGAGTGAAGTGGCACCTTCTTAGCTCACTGCAGCCTCAAACTCCTGGGTTCAAGTGATCCTCCAGCCTCAGCCTCCCATGTAGCCAGGACTACAGGCACACACCACCATGCCCAGCTAATTTTCATATGTGTATGTATATAGATGGAGTCTCATTATGTTGTCCAGGCTGGTCTTGAACTCCTGGCCTCAAGCGATCCTCCCACCTGATCCTCCCAAATCATTGGGATTACAGGCATGAGCCACTGCACCTGGCCAAGGGTCACTGTTAAGAGCTAACAGGACAATCCTCTGTCATCCCTGGAAAGGGCCATGTGGAGCCCTACAATCACCAACAGTTGACTGAGTTCACATTTTAATAGCCGCAGATTCCACGCCTCATCTCCAATCCTCGATTGCTAATGCCAGGTATAATCTATGAAATTCCTCAGGCTGCTTTCACATAATCTCTCTTTAGGCTGTGTGAGTCAGGCTGAGAGAGAAGCAGAAGGTGGGGCCACGTTCCCAGACACCTCCCAAGAACACCCGAAGCCCATCTTCTATGTGTGTAAAAGCTGGGGCTTGGCTGCCCCGAACAGAAATGAACTAGCGTTTTCAATCCAAGTCTCCACATTTCAGACTGTTTAAACATCTGGCCCAAACACAGGTTAAAACAGAGCCCCGTTCATGTACTCGGCACACCTGTCAGGGGAGGGAAGACGAACCTTAATAATATGGAGCTTGGGTAAGAGGTTGCAGTCAGCCAGCGTGAGTTCATCCCCATCCAGAAACTTCCTTCCAGAAACAGCGACATCCTCCGTGCTGTAGGCGTCTATTTCATCAGGCAGAGGGCTATTTAAGAAATTATTGAGCTTCCTCAGGGCCTTCAGCAGGTTCTTTTCATAAACTAAAACAGAAAGACAAATCACAAAGAGAGGCCTTGCAAGTGCATGTCACTTGTCACCAGTGAGTTCACATTTTAATAGCCCCAGATTACATTTTAATAGCTATGATGGAAGGAGTTTGCTTCCCTTCCTCGCTGAGACGTGGCCAGCCAGCAACAGGTGCTGGGAAGGCAGGATGTGGATGTAGAATACCTGAATGAAGGACTCACTCCTCCCTGGAAATCATGCTGCTGTCTATCCAACATTGCTACTCCTAGAAGTCACTTATTTATTCAAAACTACTTATGGAAAGCCTGTGAGGAGGCATGCACTAGCAGAATCATTGAATACAATTCCCGTGGTGTGGCCGGAACACCACATGGTGACTATTTTTTAAAAAACATTGTTTTCTGGGTTCCCAGCCTCAGAAGCAGCATTCCAAGCCCACATGCAAATTCAAAGTTGGAGGCGGTTTTTCCACATCTCCAGACTCACTTTTCTACCTGCTGGAAAATGGGTTGGAACACCCCAGCAGCACATGAGTCGCTGTGCTAAGGCTCGAGTGAAGGTCCATGCTGAAACAGAAAACAGGAGGATAAGAGGTACTCACCCTCATTTGCATCCTTCTTCGTGTTTTTTATAAATGCGGAAAATTTGGCAAACACATCGTTTCCTGCAGAATTAGATTCAGGATGTTGGGTCCCCAGCTTGGGATACCTTGAAAAGTTCAAAATTGGAGGATCACAGACAAACGGTGTTTTAGTTAAGATAATACTATACTATGGAGAAAAACAGCTTTCTCTGGGTGGATATAAACATGAAAAGCTTTCCATGAAAAGGGTCAAAAGCTGACCCTTTTCTCCTGAGGGTTTGGAAGTGACACCATCCAGGAGAACGGCGTTGGACTGGGAGGGTTTTGGTTGTTGCTGCTGTTGCTTCCTGGCAGTGGCCCGTCGTGGGACATAGGGTCCCACCTGGCCTTGCTGGCCTCAGGTCCTCCTGGTAAAATGAAAAGGATGGACTGGAAATGTTTCCCCTGAGCTCCAACAATCCATGATACTTCGACCTAACACATACCCAGAGCTTCCAGCAGGGCGTTGAGGATATAGCCAGCCACCCACCCTGGACCTATCTCCTCCTACTTCCGGCCATCAAATCCTGATTGCCAGGCTGCAGGTGCAGCGCAATGAAGTCCAGGCAGTGCCATGGGCTGCAGAAAAACCACACACACACACACACACACACACACACACACACAC